GCGGCGAGAGCGCCCCGGCAGGCGGGTGGAAGCAGCCGCCGGGAAGCGCCGGGCACCGCGCACAGCCCGCCCTGGGTAGCGTCTCCCGCGCGCGCTCGAGCTCCGCGCTGAAGAAGGTGGCGCAGCTGGAAAGCAGGATCATGGGCCGAAAAAAGCAGCTGGACTCGCGAAACAGCGACTGGGGCCAGAACCCCTCAGATGAGGCCGTCTCCTCTGCTTCCAGCCGCGAGCACAGTGCAGGGGGCGGCAGGTATCGGAAGAATTGTGCCCGTGGAAACGGGGCCTTTGGTGATGCACGTCCTAAGAAAGCTGGAAATACCCGAAACCCCCCCAGTGATGGTGCAGTTAAACAGCAGCTTGGTCTGGATGGTGATGAAGAGGAAACGAAAGAGCTGATGAAGAGCTCTTGGCAGTTTTCCAGTAGAAATCAGAATAGGAGGGTGCCTGTAAATTATTCTAAACAGGGAAAGGTAAATGGACCTGGATTGTATATTTTTATTTACACTTTTATGCAATAGTCTTAAACTAGTAAGTCACTTTTCATATAGATAGTGCCAGAAACTAATTTTTAATTCTCCATTTGTAGATGTTAGTGGGTTGGCTTCAGCATACATTTTTAATTTATTAGGGTTTACCCTTTGTAACTTGTCTTTGCTTTTAGTGATCTACATACGCAAATAACACATTAATTTCCTTTTCATGCTCTTTGAAAGACTGAGACTACAGTTTCATCAAGAATGGCTCTTGCATCTCAGAAAGAAACGTCCCTGTCAAAGACATCTAAAGCACCTTCATTTCACAGCAAAGACTTGGAGAAAAGCATTTTTCTTGACGTTAATTCACTAACACCTTCACCAACCAACAGAAGCCTGTCAGTATTACATAATGTGAGATGTCAATCACTGGCTCCTTCCATGGAGGACAATGTTGTAAGGAGTGTTCTGCCCGGAGCAGGCGACGTCAAGCGGAGCCACGTATCACTTGGAAGTGACAGAAGTGAAATCAAGTCATTAGACGAGTTATTTTCAGACGCAGCGGAGGCAGAAGATTCAGCTAGCGAAAGCTCAAATGGTAACTCTTAATTCTGTAAATATCTTAAACACCCGCAGTGAAAGGATTCTCTTGAACTTGGTTAATGGGTCCAGCTACAGGCAAAGCTGGACACTTTGCAAGAGCTGTTGCTAAGATTAAAGAGAGGTTGACTCTTGCTTTTTAGTATACTGCACTAGGTTGAAGCTGGGAATGTAGTACTGATCTTTGGGGTTGTTTTTTTGTTCCCTTTGTATGGTGTATGGTATCTTCTGTGCTGTGATGTCTAGGTGACAACTTGTCATTCAATTGCAGACTTCAGAGTGAATATACTGAGCCTCGATGACTTGGCATCAGATATCCCCAAAGAGACACCAGAATTAAAGCAGAAAGTAAGTAGAAATTCCCTCATAGCCCATATTTCCTTTCTGCGTTTGCTTGGTGTGCAGTGGATATTCTAAAATAACTATTGTATTCATAGAACACACTAAAGCAGCATTTTTATTTCCTAATAAAGCAGTAGCTATACTACAGCACAGATCAAGAATAATGGAGGCATATTCAAGTTTATAGTTGTTTCTTCTAATGTTTCTTTTCCATTTCTCAAAAAATTCTTTCATTTTACAGGGGACAGGCTTTCAAAATATCCAGAAGTCAAACAGGGATCCCCCAAAAGTTGCTTTCCATGTGAAAAATGATCCAACCTCCATTAACATGACAAGTGCAATAGCTGGTATGAATGATGCATCTGAAGGGGATGTTGAAAAAAATGTGACTGAAACTGAAATCTCTGAGCATTTAAGTGAAGTTTCTGCAGGCTTCCCTAGACACAGACAAAATAATGTTGATAATGACAGAACTGTTAATTCAGAATATTCTGAAGACTTTGAAAAGACCTCGTCTGTAACAGACAGTGAATTTGCATCCGAGATCTCCGAGGAACACTCGGACAGGCGCACACGGTCTGGAAAAGACCCCTCTTCAGCATCGTCACCTTCGCTGCCCAGAGAGTGGCGCGACCAGGCACCCAGAGCGACCGTCAGGGAAACTGCAGTTCAGACCCTTGATTCTCCATTTACCTATTACTGGCCACAAAGTAAGTCCGTGTTATATCAAGGTGATCTTCCCCTGCAGAGGTGTTCTTGCATTGTAGCTAGTTTTTGGAGAGAGCTGTGGTCTAATTGGCAAGACGCAGACAAGACCTTTAGATACTTCTGAGGGGTAACTCTTGTGCTACCCCCTTTCTTTTAAAAGGAAGAGTCACTTCCCACTGTACTCAAGACAAAAGGAAATTAGGTGTGCTTGAAAAGAATGGCCTAGAACCCTTATTTTCATTCTGCTTAGTGTTGAATGATGCCTTTCAAAAAAAAAAAAAAACGTTGTGGAGACCACAGCACAATTTCAGCATCAGCCAGCTGCCAGGTCCCTATTTGGGGCTCTACTGCTTTTCTACAGGAATCCCCCAAAACACTTCTGGTCATCTGAGCCCTCTTCACCTCCAAACACAGTAATTCTAATTTTATTCTCTATACAGCAAGCAATTCTGCAGTGCTTGGCCCACCTCTAGGGAACAGCTACGTCGATCCAGTACCTATTGCCAGTCACGTCATCAGCATGGATACAGTAGAAGGTACTGAAAAACCCATTTCTTAATATTCTATTAAACTTTCATGCATTTAACTCACGCTCAGATTGTTTAAAACTTAGGGCCTGGCTTCTGTTTTATCACTCATGTGCATGCTTTGCCTTCCTTGCAGCCCTGACAGCGTACAGCCCATCGGTTCTTGTTTTAAATGATATGTTAAAACAGCACTTGCTGCTGACTCAGCAGTTCATAGAGAACATCCACCAGCTTCACGGATCCCTCGTGGCTTCCTTGGAGAGGGAGCAGTTCCACTATCACACCCTGCAAGAGGCTAAAGAGGTATTTATGCTAGACTTGAAAGTAGCCTTGCATGAGCATCTGTTGCTTTCCAAACACTCCAAGAGTTGTTGCAAACATTATTTTCTTAGAGGATTAATATTAAATAAATTAATATTATTAAATTGCCTATTGAAGATATTTATTAAATTTATTGTTAAATTGCTCCAGAGAAGATGCTATATTGCTTGTGCTCAAGACTGAGCTGGATTCACTGTATGCTCAAATTTGCTTTTTCTGAGGTACCATCTAGCAGTTCACAAATGAGCAAGGATCTTCCTAACGCTGTAACACTGGTATAACAGTATCATTTTCTGTTGCTACGATGTAAAAGTGCACGTGTCTCCATATAAAGATGTATTATTTACCAAATAGTGAAAATTACTTACTATTAATGCTGCAGAAAATTAATCTACGTTATTTACTAAATACTACAGAATACTACAGAATATTTATCTACACAATAGATTTGCATTAATTAACTTTGCTTTCTTGCAGTACATCAAGAATCACAAATCCCCACCTTTAACACTTGAGCAAGCACTCCAAGAACTTGAGAAAGGGCAGGAGCAGAAACTGCTTTGACTCTTGCTTTGTAAATGTTAACTAGAATTTACATTTACAAACCTCCAGGTGCAACAAGAAGCCCTTTCAAACTGTACAGATAAAAACATGTAAAAATGTACTGTAAGCATGTATAGTAATTGTTCTGTATTTTTCTATCCTTAATTTATTTTCTTACATGTAAATTTTAACTAATGTGCACCATACAGAGATAGCCAAGAGGCTTCCCACAAATTAAGTCACTGTTCAGCAATAAACAGACCAAGAAAACATTTCCCTAAAGGAGCTGGGCAAGTCATCCTGGTTTACATGTTTATCATGGTAAAAATGTAAACTTGTACTATGCTGATGAAGGTGATCACAGTAAAAGAATACTGAAGAATAAAGTTCTGACTTTAGTGCCTCATTTAAACAGTGTTTAAATGTAATTTAGCTAAACACAATAAACCTAAACACAAATTCACTACAAGAGTCTTTACATCCAAAGTATTGGAATCCCTTTACTCTGAAAGATGAGCCACCCTTTTATTTTTTATTAAAAAAGTGTTTATTGGAAGGCGAAACAATAAAATTCACGAGGTGGTAACATACAGGTGGTATATGCTGATTCACAGACAGTTACAGTTCCACAACTACAGTAGATCTAGAACAAACTGATATTTCACCATATTAACTGAATGGTTTTAAGAGGGTCTCTGCTATACAAACAAATGACTCTGGAAGAGGTTACCACCAAGCAGACCTCTGGCGTGGAAGTGCAGTGTAGGGACCTAACATCTTTAGCTGGTGGTCTCAAAACACTTACAAAAGGTTTTTCTTATTTAGAGGAAGTTTCCAAGAATGTTTCATTATTAGAAACTTGCAGAGCAGAGAAAAACAATTCTCTTCTATTGAACTAATTAGCGTTTAATAAAGGGTATATACAAAAATATAAAAAGCTTAAAGAATGTCTTCTGTTACAAAGCATTGAACATCCCTTAGAGCGTTTGAACACGTAGAACAGTTAACCCTCCCGTTCTGAACAGAGTTGTGACTGCAGCAGCTGGTGTGTAGGGGTGGTGAGTTGTATGGTAGCTTCTAACAAGCTCACACAGTGCTCAGAGGTCACCTGTGCTGGAACTAGATGCTTCATTCCCCATTTAGACATTAGGATACACTGCTCAGCATCAGTCTGACTTGATCCCAAGGCAGCACCTCTTCACTTCAAACAGAATTAACCTTTTGAGAGAAATAAACATTATGGAACTAAAGGCATGGAATTGTATCAGACAATGTTTGTATTCCACAGGAATCACAATTTTGGATGAGGGATAGCTTGACTAGTGTCTACTTCTAGAAGAAAATGGATAACTAATGGAAAAGCTTTGCAAAATACGTGGAAATTCTTAAACCGATTCTGATTGTCAATCAGGGAATTCTCTTCCTCTCTTGAAAAGCACCTACATTTTTTTTTCTGAGCCTTTCCTGCAACTCTACTACAGGAAATTCATTTCTAACTCTGAATTTAATGGTAGGAAACTTGGTGTCGGGTAAAACAAA